TTGATACTGATACTAGGCTGCTTGTTTTTATACAGTTAGACCATGGACGTTAGACAGCCGAATATGTAGCTGTGCCCATTAACTATTCAAACACGAACTACTAGTAATCCTTTTCTTGTACTGAGTCTAATTGAGCAAGTCACGGAGTACTTCTTCCCTATGTGACGATTATGCCCAAAATTAGCTGCGGATCCGTAGCTCTATCTTGCGACTGACAAGTGTTTTACCTTTTTCTTTATTACTTGGACGTCTTATTTTCAAACTTTGTATTGTAAGTCGAATATAGCCAGATACCGACGACCAAAAACGGCCCTCAGGGAGCTATGATTCCACAGCTAGCCCAAAATAAACTACACGAGTTTATAGTGAGCTAGGGAGTGTGTACTACTTGCATAACTCAAGTCATTCGCGACGATCGGTCGACCAGTGCAGTGTCGCTGTCAACCTTATCGCTGCGTTGCCCTGCATGTATATGTGGCCATCTAGCTGACGATTATTACTGTCGATGCTGTGATATACACTGATAATTTAGAATCACTATATTCCCAGGATCACGCGAAGGGTCACCACGGACTATCACAGCAGACTTCATCCGATTCGGCGCCATTTTGTGACGACTGCCTATATATATACTGTATCGCTATATACTTAGTAGGCACAGTCTGCTCTGTACATTGATGTACAAGAAATATACGTCAAGGTTGGTATATTTGTGGTGTATGCTGTTTGTAGTTGTGAAAAAAAAACAAAAAACAAGACATATAAACATATACATGAAGTGATTCGTATTGATGTCGCATTGATGGCTTACTGGTCATATTCTTTTAATTATTATTATAGTAGCACACATAAGATTATGATTATTAATTTATTTGTTGAAGTTGCTGAATTTGTCATGAATGATCTTGTATGTTGTACATGACATTACGATCCATCAATACAGCAGGTATAAGGGGATAAAGGTGACTTCAATAATTACAGAGGTACATGTATATCTCTAATGAGCATCACCAGTTAGTACTTCCATGATAGAACCAAGAAATACAAAGCAAAAATATGTACTCGGTAATGCCCGAAACCATCCCACTTGTAGTAGAAATACTGACTATTAATTTGCATCATGTTTTCAGTAGGACTTGGGCCCTAGGGGGAAAGTCTCTTTAATTACTTCATGTACCTACCCCTTCAACCCATCTCACTTGTAGCGTGCATGGTTGTGGATTACTTTATATTACGATTTATGTAGAGCCAAGACAACAAAAGAAAATTGTGTATTGTAATTTTAATTGCTATTGCTATTGCTCCACTTTTTTTCTGTCTCGGTCATACCACTGGCAATAGAGCTTAAACCACAAAAATCAAAGTCAAAATAGAAATGTGTCTTGTAATTATGACAATAACAATGATCCCCTAAAACAAAACTCAAACTCATCTTGTTATTGTTAAATCGTTCATTTTGTAGAGATTCATATTTTATTGTTATGTAAATTGGCTAATTTTTGTATGCAATTTTTTGGGGGAGAACACTGCAAGTAGTATATGCAAGTAAGTAATAGCATGTACTGAAAACGGGCAGTTATGATATGATCATGGGTACCCTGAAGAAGAATTGTACTTGCCATGTCATTTAACTTTAAAGGTTGCAGAAATGTTGACAATAGTCCATGGAAAAAAAATACATCTGTTGTAACCATGCTAGCAACTTTGAACTAAATAACAGCTATAATGAAATGGCTGGATTTGTTTGACTGAACCATAATAAATCCATGAGGTGAAACCATATTGCTGGTTTTTGAGGGTGTAATAATCTGCAAAGATGAAAACCATGGTTTATAATTAGAAAGTGAAAAAAACTTGAATATTTTTCTAGATAGTTGTTTTGTTTTTCGTTTACCCAAATGCTTTAAGTCCATGAGCTGTGTATTAGAGTGCACACTTCTATGCTATCAGCCCTCAACAAATGATACAGTCCATTGATTAGTTCAGTTCAACTCAGGACATTCATTTTTAATACCTTTTTACAAAATCTCTGAAGTCCAAATTAATAGTGGGCCGCTTAGATTAGATATCAGAGCATGTCTCAAACATGAATATTCATGCGACATCACATGATGATGAAATCTGTCAAACGAAAAGCTTTCTTTCTAATTAACATTTCTAGTTTAAGTAGTAGATGAATATGTTGTCAAGCAAAGCCTTGTGAGTAAGCACAGCTGAGCAGCTTATTGCTTTACCTAAATAAGAACTGACATCACCATAGTATGTTGAAGCGCAAGAACTGCGGACATCAAGTTATTAGTGCATTCGTGAGTTGAGCGTGATTCAAGATACTATGCATGACTGCTGGTGACGTCACTACTCATAAAGACTCAAAAGAAGCATTCGGAGAGTTGAGCTATTTTCAGTACATTGTCATTGAACCTTATCACTGAACAACATTTCTGAATTTGTTTTGCCTTGAATTAGCCACCTTTTTGCCTAATTTGTTAAACAGCAAACAAAATGAACCAGCAGTACAGAGCAATTTAGATTTCTCCATATTCCTCCTGTATGTACATTGGTCGTTCTCACTGCTAACTAATACTACCGGTAGTATGTAGCAGGTACTACCTGCAGTTTGATTTACTTAAAATAGAACTGATGTAACCATAAAACATTCTTCATGTAACCTGCCATTCCAGAACTGGATCATGGCTGTGTATGGATGAATTTAGTTCAAACTTGGTACATACATTGGACATTATGGGACCTTTATGCATATCATTTTGTTACATCATACATCATGTCACACATATACATATGTATTTGTTTGACAGTTCAATTCTAGATGGCCAAATGGCATCAATTTTAATCTTAAGAATTCATCAAAATGAAGCATTTCAGCCAAATATTGGTCGTACATGGACAGATTTCATTCAAACTTGCTACAAATACATTGAACATCATAAGACTTTGATGTAATTTTGTTTTTCAGATTTGATTCAAAATGTCTGACTGGCAGATATTTTGTTTTAATGAAATCTGTTCCAGATCCATATATATGACATGCTATGACTGTTCATGTTAAAACTTTATATACAATGTATTCAGGGCTGCCGTTGAGTTCCTCAACAAAGCAGAGCTGTTCATGTTACAGTTTGTCCATCAACGTCTAGCGTCTGCCAAAGTCAACTTTTACATTTTGATTTCTTCATGAAAACGGCAACTCCACTTTCTTTGATACTTTGTATAATTGTACCGTGGGTGGATCTCTCCCAGATTTGTTCATTTTGTAGTGATATCTTTAAATCTCTAATTTTAATGAATATTTTTGTTATTTTTGGTCGTCTTGAAAATGGCAAGCCCTATTGCTGCGATATACGTGGACACCTTGTGTATACAGAGACACCATTTTAGTTGCTTTCGAATATCTATTGATCTATCTATATATGCTACGTTCACACGACAGCATTTTATTGGAGCCCTACGGCTTGAGCCAGCAAAAATGGCTGTGTATACGCGTTCGACTTGAGCCAAGTTCGGCTCCAATAAACCCTCGGGGTTGAACTCTGATAGGGCCCGACTGTGTATACGCAGGGCCCAACTATTGGAGCCTAAATCACGCCCTCAATCGTCTTCTTCAACTTGAAGTATCCTCTCGTTTCAATTATGGTGGAGACAACATCGTTCGTAACTTCACAACAGTTGAACAGGCTGTAACACATTTAAGCTGTCATGTTTCCTACTCATACGAAATACTACAGTGATGTAGATTTGTTTTGGAGTAGAAGGTCATATAAGAAATGTGGATACTTTTCAGCGAACATCTACAGATTTCTTTGTGTCGCTTTGCAAAAAAACTGTCGTAGCTCTTTGAATACATTAATTCGTTTTTTAAAACTGTTAAAAGTATTAAATACGCTACGGTTCCGTGTATACAGAATATATTTTTAGAATTTTTTTATTATCTAAATTTGTTGTTTTATATTGAAAAAAATAGCCAGTATTTTCACCAGAGTAGGCGGTCGTTTTGACTTTAATCTTTAATCTACATCACTGTACTATTACCTAAATCATAACACCAGTTCATTGTCTTTTCTACCTCAATGCTCAGACTCGATCGTGAGTGTTTCTTTTTTTTTTCCCAGATCAACAGAATCATGCCATGTAAAGAAACAACACAAGCTTGACACCAATATCGTTTTCATTCATTTTTTTCATACTAATTATTTGAGGGCACTGTTCCGTTCCGGCTCTGACCAAACTGAATCGAACTATGGCAGATCTCGGCTCTCGTTCGGCTCCCGACCATATGAACGCATTGGAGATAATCTCCTGTTAATCAGTGGGAGGAGCAGTAGTTCGGCTCTGGTAGAATGCGATCGTGTGAACATAGCAATAGTTTGTGGGATCTTCTAGCAAACATGAAATACAAAGAGTTTTATGTCTAACTGAGTAGAGAAATAGTTGCGTAGCCTTGGGGAACCTAAATTCTAGCTAAATTGCTGTTGTGTGAATGTGGCAATAGTTGTCTTGAGTAACTGAAATATGTGTACTTTTATATAGGTAATTGTGCTGCCTCATGGCAAAGCAGTGAAGTTTATAATTGTAAACTCCAACCAAAGAGTATGATTACTGACTTAAAGGCACACCATTGGCACATACAGCAATGTAACAGAATATCCCTATTTACTGAGTTATTCTTGGCCAATAGTGTATTAGAATAGTCATTTCAAAGTCGCATGGTATGCGATGTATTAATAATGAGCAAACAACAGCACACAATAGAACTTTTGTTAGCTTTGTCGAGCAGAGCTTATCATATGAGTGATTGTCCGTCGTCGTCCAGTGTCCGTCGTCCGTGTCAATGTTTTACTTTTTCGACTTCTTTCTTGAAAACT